AATAAAAATATATAATAACAGTTCTAAAAACTGTGGGAATAATTTAAGTAAATGGTTTAAAACTACCATCAAGAAGGTCGCTGGTTCGAGCCTCGGCTGGTTCAGTTGGCATTTCTGTGTGGAGTTTGCATGTTCCCCCCGTGTTGGCGTGGGTTTCCTCCGGGTGCTCCCCCACAGTCCAAACACATGTGCTACAGAGCAGGGGTTTCCAAACTTTTCAGCCCCCGACCACCAAAATAACAATGCCCGAAACTCGCGACCCCCAATATCCTCTAAGGTGGTTATACATACAGAAACCTTGCATGCAATGGCGCACACACACCAATAGACCCAAGTCTTTACATTTTTTTTAAATGTATGTCAGTGCTGTAAATGTGCCAGAAAGTTTAACTTGGTGTTATAAAATCAATCTGCTGCATCTGAGGCTATTGCTGTGTCTTCAATATAATGTAATTACCCCAGGGGTCGCAATCCAATAGAACTAGTAACTATAAGCTTAAGCTACTATAGTAAGAATAAAGTATATAGTAACTATAAATGACTATTCTTTCTCTTCAGTAGGTTATTGATAAAATATTGTGATTCTTATGGTTTAATAAAAATAGATTTTTGGAAATCACCAGGCAACCCCTCCACCCCCACCCTTCATTGTCCCCCGACCCCCATTTTGAGAACCACTGCTATAGAGGAATTGGGAAGGATAAATTGTCAGTAGCGACGCAGTGGCGCAGTGGGTAGCACTGGGTAGGTCTCTGGGTCGCTGATTCGATCCTCAGCTCAGTTGGCGTTTCTGTGTGGAGTTTGCATGTTCTCCCTGTGTTCGTGTGGGTTTCCTCTGGGTGCTCCGGTTTCCCCCACAGTCCAAAGACATGCGGTACAGGTGAATTGGGTAGGCTAAATTGTCCGTAGTGTATGAGTGTGTGTGTGTGTGTGTGTGTGGGGATGTTTCCCATAGATGGGTTGCCCCTAGAAGGGCATCCGCTGCGTAAAAACAGATTAATAAAGGGACTAAGCCGACAAGAAAATGAATGAATGAATGAATGAAATTGTCTGTAGTGTATGTGTGTGAATGAGTATGGATGTTTCCCAGTGATGGGTTGCAGCTGAAAGGGCATCCACAGCATAGAACATTAGTAGTAGACCCCACACTGGCTATTCTACTTGTCGTTCTTTGCATATCTATAGTTCTACATTGTGATTTCCCATGTTGTTTGAGCACTGGTTATCCAGATTTATTGATCCTGAAAGTTCCAATCGGGATCAGATTAATCCAATCCACTGTTGCTTTGAAAAACTGGCTCAAAAAGTAGGCTGGATTACGTGATCAAGGATCGCAAAAACAGGATTACTAAATCCGGATCATTTTATCAGGATTAAACCTTTTGAAAAACGTCCCTGTT